TATTTGATGCAATTAATTGAGTCACTATTAAAACATATAAATAATTAAGTCATGATGCAATTATTTTTGAGAATTTTGGGAATTGAATCAATAGCAAAATAATTTATGCCACATGTATATAGCACACTGATAAATGCCTGGTACATCTGTACTAAGGTCACAAGTTCAATACCTGATGATGGCAAAATTCCTATGAACCTATTCCAGGGGTGAACATGATAAGCATAAGTTGCCTTACTATCATGAACCATTTATCAAAGTGTCATAGTGCTACAAATCTTACTGGAGATCCGGAGATTCCGTACAGGATTATCGCAAGATGATCTACTTCGAGCGATCTTAATACTAGGGGCTGGATGTGACATTGGTAAGTGTCAGTTGCCTGACTACTGGTACACGACCAGGTTGAACCATAACTTCCCCTTTTTTTAGTTCCAGTAGGACTATAGTGCATTGATAAATGCCTGGTACATCTGTACTAAGGTTACAGGTTCAATTCCTGATGACAGCAAAATTCCTGTGGATCTATTCCAGGGGTTATCATGGTAAGCGTAAGTTGCCTTACTATTATAAACCATTCATTAAAGTGTCATAGTGCTACAAATCTCACTGGAGATCCGGGGATCCCGTACAGGATTATCGCAAGATGATCTGCCTTAAGCGATCTTAATACTAGGAGCTGGATGTGACATTGATAAGCGTCAGTTGCTTGACTACTGGTATATGACCAGGTTGAACTATAACTTCTCCTCTTTTAAGACCTGTGGGTCTATAGTGTAGTAGTTAACACTCCACAGATCAAATCACAAGATACCAGTTCAATTTCATGTAAAAACAATTGAATAGAATTAATATGGTATCTGGTGCCATAATCTGTATAAGCGCTGTTTCTTATGAGAAGCCGTTTCACATGCTGATCCAGCGGACATTGAGATTGTGATTTTCAAAAAAGGTGTTGTGGCACAATGATTATTCGGTTGGTATTACGATGATTGCTAGAAGTTGTAAGGTATATGAGGTATCCGCTTTCGGTAAAGATGGCTTGGTGATTGTTTCCCTGTGATATCTGGTGTTTCTTCCTGCAAGTTTCCAGAAAGGCCTTATTCCAATCCAGTAATAAATCGCTCCGACAGTTACCTATCCCAAGAAGGCAGCCAAAACAGCAGTAAGTACCGATAGCTAAAACAATCTATGGGCCGTAAGTCTGTGAGATAAGTTTCTTGAACATTCTTGGGTAGCTCTAGAAAGATGGAAATTAAATAGTATGCCTATCTGCAGGTGGTCAGGTCTAGAAGGATTCTCTCTGCAGTGATTTTATTTGCCAAAAATAGGTACTACTCCTAGTTCCCTACATTCAAACTTTCCTTTTAATTTATACAGTGCCAGATAAAACATAATAATATAATAATAACATTAATGGAGCTTTGGCACGTTAGCCTCAGCACAACCTCTCTGGAGTGACGTTGACAGCAACAAGCTGATATGGAAGTTAAAATTGATATAGTTTAGTGATGCGTAGAATTATTTATAGATAATAGTTCCTGTAATACATGAATTACATATATAAATAAAATAATAAAGTATGCTAGGCAAGGTCCAGCTGGTTAAACTTAAAAAAAAAAAAATTTAACTATAATATAATACTGTATATATATTGTATTATTATATTTTTAATTATAAAGATTAATAAATAATTTTGACTTGTAGTTTGATTAAAAGTAAATATATATATATATATATATAATATTTTTTTATTTTTTATTTATTTATTTATTTGAAAAAGTTTATAATAATAAAAATATATTTAAAATAATAATAAATTTTTAAATTAAAAACCAAAAATATAATTTAAATATTTCTTATTATTAAAAAATATTTTTTTCTAAATATACTATATAATCAAAAAAAAAATTATACTTCTTTTGAAAAAAACATAATTAATTTGTATTAAATAATTTTGAAATTTATTTTTAATTTAAAAATACTCTTAATTTTTAATAAAGTTAATTAATAATTTTACAATAATAAATTATTTTGTTTATATCTAAAAGTTTTTAATAAAAGAATTTTATCTTTAACTTTTATTTAATCTTATAAAGATATTATAAATAAAAGAGCTATAATATAATCAAGATTTTATCTAATAATAAATTGTAAATGGTAAGCTCAAATCTTTCTGGAAATGGAAGAGAAAAAAAATAACTATTTATTTTAAAGATTATACAAAGATCAATAATAAGTATTTACCTAGCATTATGTTTTATATTTCAAAGACAATAAATACTTATTTGATATGGAAAAAAAAAACAAACTAAAAAAATATTATATAAAAAATAGTGCGTTAGTGCGTTACGTAATAATCTTGAGGCATAACGTGGACGGTTTGATGAACTTGTAGGAAGATAGGTTCCTTTTATGGATTTCATCTTGTTTATACAGTAGTGTTTTATTCGATTTCTTCGTATTTATCGGTATTCAGAGTAAAAAGTAAAATAATTTAATAAAATTATTCTTTTAATAAATTACTTGACATTCATTCCTTCACTAAAACGCCACATTACAAGTCATTAACCTGAAACAATGGATAGTACACTATTTCTATTCTTGATAAATGATATCACCTATTGATAAGTTAGAATTTTATCTATTCTTATTACTTAGATCTGTAAACCTTTAATAAATCCTATAAAGATATTGAATTTTGAACAAACTCATGGTGTAAACGCCTTTCAATTAAGTTAAACCATATTGAAATAGCAGATGCCGGTGTACTGGTCTGATGTAAACTACTCTTCTGTTTCAGCTTTTGGAGAGGTTTTATTTTCAGAAGAAACTTCCTCAGTCTGTGTTATAGATTCATTCTCTTCCTCAATCTCTGAATTTGGGAATGAATAATTGGATTCAACATGTACTATTTTCGTGATTTGGTCAAGTTTTGCCAACAAATCAGGGGAATCAAATATAGCAGATGGTAATGACGGACAAGAAGAGGGAAGGTTCTAAAAAATGTTAAAGACAAATGTAAATTTGAATTGACAAACGAAAAAAATATTATACTTAAAAATACCTTTTCTTCTTGAAAACTATTATGAAACTTCAAAAATATACTGCATAATACAAATCGTACGAGGAATTGGCGAAGGAAATCATCTTGCAGAAATCGTTTCACTGATCTTTCTAAAAACGTATTTATAATTTGATTAAGTTATCGGAATGTATAGCCGATTAGCAAGACGTAATAAAGATATTCGTATATGATCAAATACCCAAATTAGATGAATTAAAAAGTTCAACAATTATGGCCTCAGATTCACTAAGTAAATTTACGCATTTTTCCCAATCATCAGAATTTAACTGCCCAATGCCCGAAATAAACGCAAATCCAAGAAGAGGAGCATGGAGAAATAGAGTAAAAAGACTACCAATCTGAGTATCTAAACAAAAGATTGTAAAATATATTAATAATAGAGGATATTTATTAGTGAAATCCTTAATTCGTAAATACCTGGAATAGAAGCAGGGTATTCAGTGGGTGACATAAGACAGAGGAACGGTTGGTTGAAAACCATGGGAAAATTCTAAAAAATTATTCGGTGTTAAAAGATGTATACTAAAAATTAAGCAATACAGCAGAGAATATAGTTACCGCAAAGGCTGTGCTATTATTGCTGTCAATTATCAGACATAATGATTTTCGGGTAAACGGTACCAAATCGTCTGGATGTAAACAATTTGCCAACCCTCCATTGTCAGATGTTTCTGATTTGTCTGCTAGTTTTTTGGAACTTGTTGCAACGCCACCACCATATCCTATATTTGATGGATTAGCAATTGATATAGAAGGAAAAAAGAACAAAAAAAAAATACAAACCATTGAATTGATTTTGATCATTATTATTTGATCGTTTCGCACCATCCGCCGAAATATAAAGTAACATGGCAGAATTTTCATTTATTTCCTAATGATAATGAGCACAAATTAACATCGAATTTTATAAAATACGTAGATCATAATATCATCAAAGAATAACCTTAAAAGCTGTCGCAATATAAACCATCAACTGACTGAAAGATGGTTTATACAGAAGATATTTGTGTGGATTAACTCTTCTTGATGCACTCTTATCGGCTGGTGTAATACTTGATTGTTCTTCGACTGATGTGTCATCTTTCCCCCTCTCATTAGTGGAGGAATTTTCAACCCCAGCTACTTTAGGGGCACCTTTTGGTGGTGCTGGTTCTCGTTCTAAGATTATGATTAATATTGTCAAAGTCAACCCTACAAAATTAAACCAACTTGCGATCAAAAATCATTTTAAATCCTTACCAAGTGATTGTAAAATGTGATACATGTCGAGTGTAAGTTCCGAAAACTTTATTTGGTTTTGATAATTTCCCACCAAAATCGCTTCTTGAAGTTTTAACTTGGGAGAACCATCTTTTTCAAGTCTCGGACTCCTTTCAATTTGAAGACGACGTGCGATGGGCAAGTAATGACCTTTCGGTGAAACTGGAACGAGCTTCTTTTCAGCCTAACCATTCGAGAATTATATGAATTGATTCGATTTACATCAAAGATGAACGATAAAAAGGAGCCGTAAATAATACCTCTAAAAATGTGCCAATTTCTTGAAGTACAGATTGCCATTCAATTGAATCCACTGGCCTAAATATTCTTATATAATCATCAACAAAACCACTCAATTCTTCCATCAGATTTTGTACAATTTCTCTTCTATTTAACAATAGACATACGACGATGAATCGGGCATAATATCTTAGCTTTTTAATCATCAAAGCTGGGCTGATATAAAAGAGATTAGTTAATTGGATTGCTTTTTTTTTAAAAAAAGTAACACTATTATTGTTCAACTCACGTTTTGATATCGAGCACATCTTTGAAATAGGACCTTTCACGAATAGCTTCATAAAATATATAAGATTCATGAAGATAATTTGTTTCGCTTGTACGAAGACTTTAATATAATAATCCATAAATTCTTGTCAATGTTATTTCAATCAATAACTAATCATCAAGTTTAGCATGAGTGAACCAATACATACTAGTAATGATAATATAACTGCCCAATTTTTGACGCAATTTCGCCAACTTCCCATCTTTTAAGGCCATAGTTCTCTTTGTTTTCTAAAACAAATCTGATGAGAGGATGTATATTAACTTAAATAATTGTAAATTTTAATTAAAGAATTATTGTAAGAAGACTTACCTATTTTGCTGTTGAAATTTCCACAACTAAGTTCAAATAAAATTATCGTAAATAACGCGTTTCTTAACAAGGTTGTCGACAAATAATTATGAGTACTACCTTGGTGTAAACTTCAAAAGTTTTTTGAAAATATGGTTGCCACTGACGACCCCCTGTTGGAGGAAGATCCCTGGAGTTTTATGGATTTTCCTGAGCCTTGGGTTGAATGTGGGTGTATTTTGCGCATAATATTTTCTTTACCTCAAACCTGCGAACAGTTGTTGACTTTTTTCCAAAAGATATTGAAATTCTTCTACGATTCTTTGATTATTCACTGACGAGTCGGCTGTTACTTTACTATCCTTTTCGGCAGCGTTAAGTACAGGGGCTTCCTCCATAGCAACATCATGAACCGTTGCTTGTGTTGAAGTCGAAGGGGATAGTGTAGTTGCAATTGCCTGTGTTTCTTTTGAATTTGGTTCTTCCATTCTTAGCTATAGATCATGTCTTGCGTAAGTTATTACTTTTTTAAAAAATGTGAGCAAAACACGAGTAATTTCTTCGCGTACATGATGGAGTCTACTAAAGAAATACTTTACATAACGTATATATTAATTATTTATGTACAAACATGCCAATTACGTGATTGTGACCAGGTTTAAACAGTCAACTTTGGTAATGATCGATTGGACGTTATTATTTTTTTCTTTTGACAGGTTTTATTCTTGATCTGAGGCTTCCATGAATTTTCTGTAATCAAATGCTTTGATAAAAAAACTTTTTGATTATTAAATGGTTGTGCTAGCCTATACTGTATATAGTAAGGTAATTTTGAATTACTGGTATTAACTACATTTATAGTATGGTGCAGAATTTTTTTAAACTTATAAAAAAATATTTAAGATTTAAATCTATTTAATTATAATAATTAGTTATTTTTATAATTGATTCATTTTAAATTATATAAAAATAAAATTTTTGACTTTTAAACAATTATAAGATTAAAACAAGATTATATTAATTTTTTTTTTTAGTTTAATCAGCTGGGCTTTGCCTAGCATACTTTATTATTTTATTCATATATGTAATTCATATATTATAGGAACTACTATTTATAAATAATTCTATGCATTGCTAGACTATATCAATTTTACTTCATATCGGCTTGTTGCTGTCAGCGTCACTCCAAAGGGGTTGTGCTGAGGCTAACATGCCAAAGCCCCATTAGTGTTATTATTATATTATTATGTTCTATTTGATACTATATAAATTAAAGAAGAAGTTTAAATATAGGGAACTGGAGGTAGTACCTATTTTGGTAAATAGAACCACTATAGAGAAAATCTTTCTAGACCTAACTACTTGCAGATGAGTGTACCATTTAATTTCTACCTTTCTAAAACTACTCAAGAATGTTTAAGGAACTTATCTCACAGATTTATAACCTATAGATTGTTTCAACTATCGGTACTTACTACTGTTTTGGCTGTCTTCTCAGGATAAGTAATTGTCAAAGTGATCTATTACTGGATTGAAATAAGACCTTTCTGAAAACTTGCAGAAAGAGACACCAGGTACCATAGGGAAACGATCACCAAGCCATCTTTACAGAAAGTGGACACCTCATACATCTTACAACTTCTGGCAATCATTGTAACACCAACCAAACAATCGTTGTGCCATAACACCTTTTCTGAAAATTACAATCTCAACGCTTACTGGATCGGTATATGAAATGACTTCTCATGAAAAATAATGCTTATACAGGTTATGGCACCAGATATACATGTTACTGAAATTTGTAGATCCTTGACTAAGGATCCTAACGATTCTCTTCGATTCTGTATTCGATTCTCAAGTTTATATTAAATTTAATAAGTAGGGTATACCCCACCATCATTTTTAATAGTGTTCCGAACCTTATGCG